GCGACGGTCGACGACTACCGCGCTGGCCTTCTGCACGCGCTCTGCATCCGCCTGCGCGGCGACGGAGGCGCAGATTGCGCCGGCCGGGAGCTCGCCAAGCACAGCCGCGAGCGCGCAATCGACGGGGCACGCGCGCAGGGGCACGACCCCAACGCAAGCGCTTCTGCGGCGGAACAGGCGGTCGGCTGTCCCAAACGTCGATGTCGCGACCGTCTGGGCGGCGCGCGCCTTCCGACCAATTTTTGGGGAGTCGGCGCGACGTGGCGGCTGCGCAGCTGGAGCGAGCCGACGCCGGCCTTGGATGCTGTTCCAGGCCCGTTTTCGTCGCGCGCGCGCGATGCTTGCGACCTCCCCGCCCCCCGGGAGCTCGCGGGCGCCGCGGGCGGAGCGCGGCTGTGACTGCATCGCAGACGCCTGCTGGATTCGCCAGACGGGATGGATCAAGCCGCGGACGGCCGTCCAACCGCGAGAACCTCGCTCAAGACAACGTTGCGCGGGCGAAGCTCAACGCGGGCAGTTGGGGCCCTCCCGACCGCCATCTTGGCCTTCCAGACCTGATTGACTTCTACGTTGCTGCGGTGCCGAGGCCGCGCCCCACGGGCCCCCCGGCCGCCGTGCGCGAGACGGCCAGAGGCCTGACGCCAGCGCTCGCGGGCGCCACTTCCGCGGCGAGGCAGATTTTTCGCAGCGCGCCGATGTTTTTTTCTAGTTTGCCCCCCCCCCCCCCCCCCAACACACCCCACCCACGCGCGCGCGCGCGCCGCTCCCCACGAGCCAGCCCATCAGAGCATGGGCCCCGCGAGCAGGGCCACGGGCCCAGGAAATGGAGCGCAGGCGGCGCTTCCCGCACGATGCGCCGGCCTTCGCCGCGGCCGCGCCTGAGCCCGCGATGCGGTCTTCAGTTCTGTCGACCGTCGACGACCCCGCCGCGGGCCCCTGGGGGGGGCCCAGTGCAACGGTGGGGGCGACCACGGGCCCTTTTTTCACCACCCACCAAACCACCCCAACCCAACCCGAAGGCTCAGATTTACATTCGATTTCCAGTGTGGGGGGGTCGGGAAACATCGGAAAAGCACATGTGGAACCCTTGCCCCCCCAAACCCGACATTCGGTCTTCGGGTTGGGTTGGGGTGATCTGGCAGGTCGTCATTTTTCACCGACGACGACGAGCTGGTCGCGGGCCCTGCTCCACCCGCAGAGGAGGCGGCTGCTGCGGCCGCGACGGGCGGGCTGGGCGCGCAGGAAAGACCGAGGACAGCGAACACTCGGAGCCCGAAGTGGCAGAAGACTACGAGAAAGACCGCGAGGCGCTGCGACCTTCGAGCGTTTCGCGCAGACGGCGGGCGCGATGTCGAGAGCCATCTCTCGCGGCCCGCGTCGTCTGCAATGCGCCCCCAGCGCGGCGCGCGGCAATGGCGCCGCAAGGGTCAGTCGACCATGTAGAGGGCGATCTTCCGATGGCCAAGCGACGGCCCGCCGGCCCAGAGCCGGGAAGGAGAGTCGCGCCCCCCGAAGAGATCCGCCGAGCATTCGGCCCCGACCCCAACGGCGGATCCTCGCGGCCCAGGCGGAGCGCGACTCTGCCTCGACGCATGCAGGGCGCGACCCATGTGGCGACAGCAGACGACGTCGGGGGGCGCGGCAGGAGGTCGCTGCCCATGCTCAACGCGCGGTCTTGCACAGACCAGGATGTCCGCAGGCCCCGCGCCAGCCTGGCCAGGGACCTCCGGCCGCGTGACCCCGCGGCGCAGCGCTGGGCGGCCTGGGCCGAGCCATCCAGCATACGCGGCGGCCAAACTTGCCGCCGCGCGGCAGCGGGTGGAAGGAAGGCAAATTGGACGTGGACGGGGGCGTTCCTCAATGCACCGCTGCCGCCTAACAAGCTCATCCTGGCCCAGAACCCCGCGCATGGGGTCGCCTGGGGCATCGCTGAGCAGGGCGCGGCATGGATGCCGAACGAGGCCGCGCGCGGCCCCCGCCAGGATCCGAAGTGGTAGTCCGACGACAGAGACTGCAAGCTGAAGCAGCACCGGCGGGCCTGCGACGACGACGACGACGAGTTTTGCTTGTGACATAACGAGGCTGACGCGCAGGCATGGAGCCTCGGGCGAAAGGGACATGGGCTTCTGTGCGCGCGCGCGAACGACGTCGCCCTCCTCGCCGCGCAAGGCCCGAGCAGGGAGGCGTTCGTCAAGGCGCTCGACAGTCCGTGGATGTCTTCGGGTCTGAGACATTCCTCGCACCACGGGTGCCCCCGAAATGTTTGGACCTGGATTGGCACGGGCGGTCGCGCGCCGACGCCCATTTCAACCGGGGGCATTTCGCTGAGGAGCCCTTGGCGAAGCGCAGGATGGACCGCCGCAAATCCGCGCCCGCCCTCGTGGACAGGCTTCCTTAGCAGGAGCGCCCGCCGCAGCGAGAGCAGCACGCTGATCTGGGCGCCCGCGCCAGGGGGCCCGACTGGCTTGCCGCGCGCGCCAGGCCAGGCACGCCCCACTGGACCCCCCCCCTTGACTGTAAGTGCCACCGAGCACGGGGCACGGGGCCGCGACCTCGCCCTTGAGGCGCCCCAGCGCGTGGCGGGGTCAGCTGGCCGAGGTCTTCCCTTCGCCGCCCAGGGCGCAGGGAACGACTTGCAAGTGCGTTCAGATGCGGGCTTCGCCAGGGCAGCCGACCAGTCGCGGAGCGACTGGCCAGGCCGCTTGCTGGCGCGGCTCGCTCACCACGGGGCGCTCCAGCAAAGCTGTCCTGTCCGCGCCTTCCACGGCTGAGGCCGCGCTCTGCGCTGCAGCCCTGGGCTGGAGGCCCCCTGGGATGGCGGCGGCGCGCGCGTCTTCTGCGACGCCAGGAAGTGCCGACAGGAGCGGCAAGGCAGGCGACGGGCCTGCACATCCCACCCCGCGCAGCCTCCACGACCAGGCGCCGTGGAGGCGCCGGGGGGCGGAGGAGGGGGCGCGCCGATAATTGAGGGCATCGTTCACCGGGGCGTTTCGCAAGACCGCCCAGTGCGCGGGGAGCTCTCAAAGGCCTCGCGCGAGAAGTGGGCCCCATATTCTGAACTCGCGTCGTCGCCAGAGGCGCGCGCGAACTGCGCCCGCGACCCGCGCGCGCCCCGCGGCGCCTTCGCCAGGAACCACGGCGTCGCCAATGCAGAGCTGCAGGACGGCGCAGCTGAGCGGACGGGACTTCCGGGTCGTTTGATCTGCCGCTGGCGCAGACAGGAGACGCAGAAGCCGATCGCGCGCACCAGCGCCCCGATGCTGAAGCTGGAGAGGAAACCGGCCGTAGAAAAAAGCGCCGCTGAGGAGCACCGCGAAACAGATTTGGAGCTTCAGACTGGAGATGAGCGGCTCTTGAAAGGGCCATTGAGCGACGTGGGCATCCGCAGCTTCTACATGTCGAGTATCGCAGATGGGGGGCCCTGTCAGTCCCTCGCGCACGTATCGATCATTTGCCTGACAGATTCGTTGTTGGGGAATCGGTGTTCGAATTTCCTTCCGGCGCCGCTTTTCGGGACATCTGATCGCAGCGAGCGTGGAGTCATCATTGCGCACGCAGCTGTTTGCCTAGGAGCACGAAGAATTATTGCACAGCGGAGGAAACGCCTCTCTCTTGCCTCGTCTTAATTATACATACGATCTGGTATAACCCGCTGCCGCTCCAGAGCGATACGTGGGCTTTTGATGCCGAGCGGATTGTAAGGCGGTCAGTCCGTCTCTTCTTGTCCCAGTAGCGTTGCGATGAGACCCGCTCTGCCAGAGACCACTGCCGACGCGATGATTTGTCTGTTTGTCGCGTGCTCGTTCGGCCCCCTTGGTGCATGCACCTCGCGACCGGTAAGTGCAGCAAGATTGTGGGGCCCCCGGGAAGTTCAGATTATTCGCTTAGGTCCAGTTCGACGATTTGCTTCAGCACCTGGCGGTCGGGCGGGCATCCGTGGCCGACGATAGATACGGCTGCAGACAGTACGACTGTGGGGACGGGAGCAAAGGTTTCCGTAGTTATTGCTGGCTCGAGTTCAAGACCCAGTTGAGTGCATTTTGTGGCCACATTTGAAAACGTAATTAGCTGGTCATCATTGTCATCGTTGGGAATCCACCGCGCTACTCTGGCTGTGGTCGGGGATGGCGTCCTGCAGTGCTGGACTGGGTAATGCAATCGCCCGGGTCCGCTGGACCTCCCCGAACCCAGCCACGCGCCCCCACCCCAAGATCGGATGGGGGGGAGGACGACAACAACGAAAATGGCATGTCACCGGGGCCCTCATCCACCACGCCACGTCCACAGTGCCACGACCGCAGGGGGGGAAGATCCCACTCGCGAGGCCTTCACGAGGCTCACGGGCGTACCAGTGCAGCGATCCAGCGGGGAGGGGGAGGGCGGGGCGATCCCATTAGCATTGGCGGGGCGGGGGGCGGAGCCCTGGATCGTAAATCCCGACCTGGGGGCGTAAGTCGGTCTATTGGGCCAAAGCCACGCCAGTGGGGATACGGACGGGTTCGACGATAGTCATGGGAGGCGCCGCCGGGAAAATTGCTGCACGAAGCTGGTTCGTTACTCCGCTTTGCTATCTCCCCCTCCCCCGCCCCCCCAGAGAGCAGGACAGGGGGGGGGGCGGGCCTCCGCGTTTGCAACGCAACCGCTGCTCTGGCTGCCTGCGTCCCGCGAGAAGGCCGCCGTCGCCGTCGCATCTGTCGCCGTCCTCGTCGCCGCCGTCGTCGTCGACGTCGGCGCCGGCGCCGTCGCAGCCGCCGTCGTCGTCGACGGCGGTGTCCTCCACGGCGTTGCATCGCCGCCCTCGTTCTCGATGTCGTCGCCATCGTCGGCGTCGTCGTCGCAGCTGCCGTCAGCGGCGTCGCCGACGGCATCGGCGTCGATGGCGGTGTCCTCCGCGGCGTCGTCATCGCTGCTCTCGTCGCCGATGTCGTCGCCGCCGTCGACGTCGTCGTCGCAGCTACCGTCCGCGTCCTTCGGCGGCGCTGGCGGCGGGGGCGTCCGAGGGCGAACGTCCTGCTGGTGCCGTGCGGCCACCGGACGGTCTGCAGGGCCTGCGCCAGGAAACTCCGACCTCCGAGGCAGGCCGCCAGCCTCCGCGCACGCCCCCTCCTGTTCCTCCTCCTCCTCCTCCTCCTCCTCCTCCTCCTCCTCCTCCTCCTCCTCCTCCTCCTGTTGGCCGCTCCTCCTCCTTTCTCCTCGCCCTCCTCCTCTTCCTCCTCCTCCTCCTCCTCCTCCTCCTCCTCCTCCTCCTCCTCCTCCCCTTTGCCGCCGCTGCTCGTTCTCCTTGTCGTCAACGCCCAGGCGTTGCCAAAATATTGTTCCACGTCGAGACAAACAGCAGAAGCTTGAGATCTGTGCGCTGCAATTTGCTCCTACAGGTCGTTCTCGCCCAATTGCGGGGACGATCACAGATCGAAACATGGAAACATGGTGATGGGGTCTAGGGCTCCAGTCGTGATTTTTCTCGGCGCCGTAATTTGTACGCCGGATTTCTGGGAAGCACGGCGGAAGGCTTTGGTTGTGTTTGGTTTCTGGGGGGTTCTCGCCGGGCTCCTGGGGCTTCGAACAACTGTTCGGGATGAAACGCCAAGTCCCCAGGTGGTTGTCGAGACTTCTGGGGGCCGGCGTTGTGACAAAGTCACGACGTCCGAGGTTTGAGATTATCGGGTGCTGTCAAAGGCGTCTCTTGCCCAGGCAGTCCCAAGGATTTCCAGGGAGCCCCCACGGCCTCCAGAGCCACCCGTGACGAGGCCCAGAGCCCCAGGGGCTGCAAAAGAGCGCGAAAAGCCTGGGGCACTTTCTGCCAGGAACACCTTGGGCAACCCCCGAAACATCGTCGTCGTGGTCTTCTTCGGGCGTCGTCGTTGTCGTCATCGTGGTCGTGGTCGCCCTCGTGGTCTTAACTAGTCGAGCGTGGTCGTGGTCGTCGTGGTCCTCGCTGGGCATCCTCCAGCTTCCTCGTCGCAGTCTCGCTCCTGGGGGTCTTTGGCCGTTCGTGGCCTTCTGGCGCCCATCCCAGATTCGGGGCCAGTCGAGGCATGGCTTCAGAGGAAAGGTTGGCCTGGGGAAAGTCCTGGACTCCAGGCCCCTTTTCCCTCAATCCCGTCTTCTGTCATGGCAATCGTCGTGGTCGCATCGAGATATTCGTCGGGGGTCGTCTTCGTGGTCTTTGTGGGACCTCGCTTGCGTCATCGTGTCCTCGTGGTCTTCATCGGGCGTCGGTGCTGTCGCGCTCGTCATCGTGGTCTTCGTCGGGCGTCGTTGTGGTGGTCGTCCCGTCGGGCGTCATCGTCGTGGCCGATCTCGTGGTGCTCGTCGGGCGATGGCGTCGTCGTCAGGAGGTTTTATGTTGCGTTATGTGTTCGTCGGCGTTCGGATGTGTTCCAATGTGTCCGCATGTTTCTGGACGGTATTTGAAGGTGTCTAGACTTGGGAGGAGACGGAGAAGGATGTGGAAGAGTCGTCGTTTCGTGTGTTTGTGTGTGTGAGTGTGTGTGTGTGTGTTGTGATGGTTTTGTGTTGTTGGTAGGGTGTCGAGAAGGGACGAGTGGGACGCGGAGGATGTGGATAAGGGGGTAGGGGAGGAGGTTGGCGTTGGTGGGGGTTTGGGGTTGAACGGAGGGGGAGGGGGAAGAGGGAGGAGGAGCAGGAGGGGGAGGAAGAGGAGGAGGAGGAGTCACAATAATAATACATGTCGGGGAGGGAGGGCGGCGAGGGGGAGGGGGAGGAAGGTGAAGAGTTGTTGTGGAGTCTTTCTGCGTCTTCTGTCCCCCAGGCTTGTTCATTGGCTTCTCCAGGTTTCCAGAATGCGAAAGGAGGAGGGGGAGGCCTCTATGGGGGGGGCGTCATGAGACGGTTCCCTTCCTCTCTCCTCCCTCCCCCCTCGATCCACTCTCCATCCCCCCTTCTTCCTCCCCGGCCGGCCAGCCCATCCCCTCTCTCTCCTCCCTCCCCCCCTCCTGCGCGCGCACGCGTCGGGGGGAGGAGCGTCGGGGGATGCTCTTTATACGGGTGGGTTTTCTGCTACCGAGTGCCCCTGAGGGCCCCCGAGCCAGACCGCCGACGTCGTGTTTGCTCACGAGGTGGACCCCTCTCCGGAGGTCTCGACCCCTTGCTTTGGGACCCGCGGCTCACCCCGAGTCGTCCTGCTGGCTGCCCCGGGGGGGCCGCGGCGATGAGGGCCCCCCCGAGGAGGAGTTTTGCTTCGCCCGCTATTGTTTCATCCGCTTTTGTTTCGCCCGCTTTTCCCTCGTCCGCTTTTGTGTCGTCCGTTTTTTGTTCGCCCGCTTTCGTTTCGCCCGCCTTTTGTTCCATCCGCTTTCGTTTCATCCGCTTTTGTTTCGTCAGCTTTTGTTTCGTCTGCTTTAATTTCGCCAGCTGTTGTTTCGCGTGCTTGGGTTTCGCCCGCTTCTGCTTTGAGCACTTTCGCATGCAAGTTGGGCGAATTAAAACCTGATGAGTTTACACTGGGCGAATTCAAGCCGGCTGAACTTGGTCGGGAATCAATTTTGGATGATTTCAGACCGTTCGATTTCAAGCCGGATGAATGCTAAACAGGAGAATTGAAGCCCGATGAATTTAATTTTGCGCATACAGAGCGGATGAGTTTAACCCAGGCGAGATTAAAAAAAACCATATCAATTTCAACGGGCGAAGTGGTACCGTATGTATTTAAACCGGGCGAGATAGATCAGGATGAATTTAAACAGGGCGGACTCGATGAATTTCAAGGGGCGGATTCAAACCGAATGAATCTAAGTTGGGCGAGTTAAAACGGGATGAATGTAAGTCGGCGCGAGTGACAAGCGTTTTCTGGCAATTGCGTTGCTCAATAGTCGTTCGTGTTTGGCCCAGTGCTTACCGCGACCAAGCAGGCGTGGCTCTTGGGCACCGCAAGGAGGATCCATCCGCAAGGGGTCACGGCACTCCACAAGATCCGCGCCCACATTGTGGCGGGGGTGTTTCAGGCGATTTGCTGTGTTTGCCTTCCTAGATTTCTCCCCTTTGGCATTTCTGCAGGAGGAGGAGGACGATGACGAGCACGGAGGAGGAGGAGGTGGACGACGACGACGTTGGTGGAGGAACGACCAGAGGAACAGGGGAGGCGACGACGACGACGAAGACGACCGACGACGACGACGACGACGACGACGGAGATCAACGACGATGATCGGAGGAGGAACAGGTACACATACCGGTACCCTTGCCCCGTTTTCCCATTTTTTGGCCACCTGGGAGGCCCTCGTCGCCACCGCGAGATTCTCCTTGAAATTCTGGCCATAACGCAACCCGGGAGAGGTCTGGGGAGTAGCGATATTGGTACAGTTGGGTTTCCCCAGACGACGACGACGATGACCACGATCGACGAGGACGGGCCCGCCGCCGCCTTTCTCGTAGCTGGCGTCGCCGTGGTCGTTTCAGTGTAGGGCTGCTCTCTTCGCGACCGAGCAGAGCAGGGGGGGGAGGGGGATAGTTTTCAATGATGCTCGATTGTCGTCCTGTCCCGCGGTGGCCCGTGGTTTCCCATGGTGGGGTGTCCTTTGGTGTTCCGTGGTGTCTCGTGAGGTAGATCTGGAGATCGGTAGTGAGATCGATAGTGGGATCGATCATGAGATCGATAGTGAGATCGATAGGGAGGTCGATGGTGAGATTGTTCTTGGGATCGATCGTGAGAACGACTGAGATCGATTGCGATATCGCTTGTGGGATGGATTGCCAGATCGATGATGAGGTCGATATTGAGGCCGGTTTTGAAATAGATTGCCAAAACGATATTGGGATCGATAGTGGTATCGATTGTGACATCGATAGCGAGATCGATAGTTCGGATGATCGTGGGACCCGATCTGCCAGGTCGCTTCCGTTAGTGCTACCCGTCGTCCCATAGAGAGCTCGATAGTGATATCGGCAACGGGCGGGCGAGAAGGCGGGCGTGTGCGCGCGTGCGGGCGCGCGGGCGGACGCGCGCTAAGGCGGGCAGGCGCGCGCGCGGGCGGGCGGGCGCGCAGGCGGGCGTGCGTCATCGTCATCGCCGTGGTCGTCGTCGCGGGTGTCGTCGTCACAGTTGTCGTCGTCGTCTTCGTGGTCATCATCGTCGTCGTCATCGTCGTCCGTCGTCGTGGTCGTCGTCGCCGTCGTCGTCTTCGTCGCGGTCGTGGTCATGGTCGTCGTCGTCGTCCTCGTCGACATCATCGTCCGTAGTCGTCGCCGTCGTCGTCGTCGTCGTCGTTGATGTCGTCGCCGTTGTCACTGTCCCCGTCATTGCCGTCGTCACTATCGTCGTCGTCGACTTTGCCATCATCGTCGTCGTCATCGTCGGTCGTCATCGTTGTTGTCGTGTACGTGGTGGTGGGCGTGGGCGTGGTCGTGGTCGTCGTTGTCGTCATCGTCTGTGTCGTCGCCGTCAGTCGTCGTCAGTCGTCGTCGCTGTTGTCGTCGTCGTCGTCGTTGTCGTCATCGATGTCTCGCCCCCCAATCGCTTCCACCTGGCAGTTCGAAGAGAATCGTAGTTTGATTTCGTGGCTTCCTCTTCCGTGTCTCCTCGGTGCCCCACGGGGACCTCGGGTTTTCGGGCCGTTCCTTAGGTTATTGTCGTCGAGCCTGTTTGCAGCTCAGGGCTGCTGTGGCCAGGCAAAAAAAACACGGCTCCTTCTTTCGATATCCGTCTGGTAGCAAAAGGAGTGTATTTGCTGAAGGTTCCAGCGGCTGCGTCCGCATGGCGTCCGTGCACTCATGCTGGCGCATCGCTTGCAGCTTCGCTTCGTGGTGCCAAAGGGACCTTTTTTCAGAAGGCCTAAATGGGAGGTTTCGCATGGAGCCTCCGCGCTCTCTTCGGGGCAGTCGATGTTGATGAGCTCGTATTTGTTTCGCCCGCTTTTGTTTCATTCGTTTTGGTTGCGCCCGTTATTGCATCAGTCGAAATTTAACTATATGATTATCAGCCGGGTGAATTACAACCGGATGATTTCCGACCGGGCGAATTGTAATCAGATGGAATGAAAACCAGGCGGATAAAACAACGGACGATTTTAAACCAGGTGAACCAGACGAGTGCAATCTGGGCACAGAGTAACCCGACGAGTTTACCCGATGAGTCTAAACCGGGCAAATTAGAACCAGATGAGTGCAAACTGGGCGAATTAGAACCAGATGCGTTCATACAGGGCGAATTATAACCGGATGAATTTGATTCGGGCGAATTCATCTGGGATGATTTTTGAACCAGGCAAACTGGAATTTGGATGAATTTAGACCGGACGTATTCCGGAAGAGGATTTGACACGGCGGAAAAAAGGGGTCCGAACATGATGAAACTAAACGAGCGAAGCAAAACCGGATGACTTTGTACCCGGGCGAATGTAAACCAGTCGAGTCTAAACCCAAACGTTTAAACCGGATAAATTCGAACGGGTGAAATCAAATGGGTGAACGTAAGCGGGTGAGTTAAAATGGGTAAGTTCAATCGGACGAAATTCAATTCGGGTCAAACAAAGGCGAATCTTCCCAGGTGCCAAAATCTTGGCGGCGCGCACAGGGGCATGAATGGGGGCACTGGCACGAGGGGTGGCCTTCTAAGAAGGCGGGCGGGGCTTCTTAGGACGCAGGGGCCCGGCGTCTGAGAAGCTTTCTCAAAAGAAGCCTCCGGCCCCTCTAGGAAGGCCCCCGCTTTCTGTGAGAAGGCGGAAGGCCGGCCCCTCCTCCCCCCGGCGCTACCCCGCTTTGCGCGCCGCCAAAGAACGTTCGTAAACACCTCAAGAGATCTAACCTCAGAGACCGATCCAACGTCAGGGGCGGCCAAGAGGGGGGGGATGCCTAGGGCGGGGTGGATATCATGATCGGGGTCATGAACTTTGCCCCGATTTCATGGCCCCCTCTCCTTGCCACCCCCCTCGTCCGCGCAAGTGCCTCTGGGCAGGATGTGCGATCCTCCCTCTTGGCCGCCCCCGACAATGAGGGGGTCTGGGGGAGGACCCTCTGAGGCGCGGCGCGCGCGAGCGCGCAACGCGCGCGGCGTAGAGGTGCCCCGTGTGCCGGCACGACGTCCAGCAGATCTCGGTGATCGGGTGAGGGGCGCCATCGCCGCCATGGAGCAAGCGGGTTTGGGGGGAGCCGGGCCCCGCGGGGCCCATCTCGCGGCGCATCTCACGGCTGAAGTGCCCGCGATGGTGCGCGAGCAGTCGCAGTGCGCCGTGTGGCCCAGGGTTGGTGACCCGCCGGTACAGAGGACACCGCTGCGAGGGAGGACCGACCCAGGCTGCCTGCGAGCCGTGCCCGCCAGCCGGGCCCCAGAGCTCAGTTTTTGGCAGCTTTCGGGCCCTCGGGGCCTTCCTGGGGCCCCAGGACCGTCGGAACTCCAGGCCTCCCAAGGGGGGCTGGCTGGCGCTGGAGGATCGCGCAGCCTCGGCGATACGCAAGCGACGTCGGGATGCCGGCGATCGGACTCTTGATCGCGCCTCCCAACGTCCAGGAAGGTCGGCTCCGCAGGCAGAGGATATGCGCTGGCGTAAAGCCTTACCTCGCACATATCCTCATACGTTTTGAGCATAGACAGGGCGCAGGTCTTTCGTATTTTTGGGCGTCGGGAGACCGTTCTCGGGCTCCTCATTGGCCAAAGGTCATCGGCAAATCGATTTGGCATGGAAAACAGTTCCCCTTGAAATTGTCGAGAGGTCTGGGCCTCCAGAGATTCCAGCGAAGGAGACGCGCGTATGTAGATCTCGCAAGCAAGGCCACGGCAAAGCGCAAGCTAAATGGGCACGCCAGGCTTCCATGGCTCACTGGACATGCCGCACAGCTCGGAACAGCGTCATATTGGCTCGCAAACGATCTCTTGTGAGCGTTTTTTATTTTTCCCCGGCGGGACGCTCGCTACCCGGGCCAATCCCCCCCCAGGTAACGCCAACGATCGTTCGGGTTGACCCAAAAGGGTGTCCAGCGACAAGGGGGTGGTGCAATAGATTTGGTGCAATCGATTTGTGGGGTTGCAATACATTTGGGGCGTGCAATACATTTCGGGGTGCAAATGTGTTGCTGAAGATTCGCGCGCAATACATTACTTGCAACACAATGCAATACCATTCTCCGGCGCAATACATTTGCAATACAGTTGCCCGAAATCTATAGCACCACCCCTTCTCAGCTGGACCCCCTTTTGGGTCACCCGAAATCGTGCTGGAGGGGGGGGAGGCTTGGCCCGCCCCTACATGTTGGGAGCGGGCCCCCCCCGCAGATATGGCGCTGTGCTCACAGGCGCGGCGTGGTCTGAACAGCACGCATTGGTGCTCACAAACGTGTTGTGGCGTTCGCAGGCTCCTCACCTGTTGCGGCGCCGAGCTCACAGGCATGGCGTGGTGCTGAAAAAAGGTATGTTTGGGTACTCATATGCGAGTTGTGGCGCTTGCAGGCTATGAGAGCGTTTTTGTTTACCTCTGACGGGTAACGCTTGTTACCGGCCCCCCCCCCGGTAACGCTTTCGGGAGTGGAGGGCGGACCCCCTCCTCTCAGCAGGTATGGCATTGTGCTCACGGGCGTGGCGTGGTGCTGGAATGCATGCGTGGTGCTCGCAAACGCGTCGTGGCGTTCGCAGAATTCCCCACAGATTGCGGCGTCGAATTCACAGGCATGGCGCGGTGCTAGAAGGCACGCTTCGGTGTTCACCTGCCTGTTGTGGCACCCGCAGGCTATTGCAATGTGCAGGCCAGTGTGGTTTACGTCTACATCCCTATGTTAATTTTCCCCTGTTCTTCCTACTGGTGGAGGTCTGGAAGCAATGTTGCCAAGGAATTTCGCAGCCATGTCTGGGTGGAGCAACGGTTACCCCGCGTCTGTCACAACTGGCGTTGACGAAGGCGAAGCGACGTCGAACGATGCCATGGGTGTTGTGGCTGTATGGCATAACATAATGCTACCTCCCCCCGCCTGCTCCACCGCCTACTAATATCCTCCCCCTTCTTTGTCGTCCTCTGCCCCATCCTCCTCTCCTTCCTCGTTCCCTCTGGATTGCGCTGTGCGCTATTGGGATTATATAAATGGCCGTTTGGGCCATCTGGGATTATCCGCACACCGCCCTCGCCCCTTCGCCTCGTCCACCCCTCGCTCCTCCTTGTCCTCCTCGTAGGCGTTCGCTCGCATTTGTGGGCTGGGTTTCGTGCCATTTTCGTTGCGTGCTGGCGCGCCGAGGTACGATGTGGCTGTCCGGTCTTATCCGATCATGTGCCATGCAGAATAAAAAGAAACTTCCCACCCCATCCCAACCTCCCCCAATCCCTTCCTTCTCCCTCCTCCCCCACCTCTCTGTCGAGTTCCCCCCCTCTTCCCATATTTTTCCATATCCGGTTGGCCGTCTCGTCCGAAACAAGCTACGGATGGTTTTGCCCAAATGTCCGAGAGTGCCAGCCCAGCAGCTTGCGCGCCAACGATACTACTCTACAGGTGTTGCTGCGTACGCGGGCGACGTGGTGAGGATTTCCGCGGTCGGTGGCGGGCCCCGCAAAGAAAAGGTTTCGCAGGCTAGTGATGTGATTGTTGGCACGTTTTGTTCGTTGCAGACAGGCGTTTGCACTGAAGCATTGTGGCGTGCGCAAGCGCTGTGGTGCACATGGCTGATGTGGCGCACGCAGGCGCTGCGGTGTAAACAAGCGCCTTGGTGCATGCAGGCAACGTGGTGTACACAAGCGTTGTTGCGCACACGGTTCTTGCAGTATACATTTTTCGCGGCGTACATGCGCGACGTGTTTGCGTTGTGCACGCAAGTGTTGTGGTGCACCGAAGCGCTGTGGTGCACTCAGGCGGCGCTGTTTTGCACGACTGCATTTGGCACTGTCGATTGCGCAGGGATTGCAGCGCGCGCAGGCAATTGATGTGCCGATGGCGTGGGCGCACCCTGGCGGGCGCACGCCGCGGCCGCTGTTACCGTTACCCGCGCCCCCCCCCCCCCCCCCTCCCCGGGTTACAGCCGCTTCCCAAAATCATAGAAATACGAATAAGGAATATGTCTTATTGCGGTGCGCGAAGGTCAGGCGGAGTCATTGCCAAGGTGCCCATTCGGAGGGCGGCAGGCCGTTTGGGCGGCAGATGGAGAATGTGGGGGCTCTCTTTCCACTGGCCAGGGGGTTGTGGTGGTGGCCGTCGCCGATGGTTCAGCTACCGCAAGCGGGTTCGACCACGCTGCCTTCTGACCAGTTCGGACGCAGTGCGATACAGTCGACGCGCCTGATTACGACGCGTGCTTTTTCCAGGGTGCCCTTTGTGTTCTTGCCTCTGCGGCCTGTCTTTCGCCGTTTTCATTGGATAGCTTTTGCCAGCAAATCCCAATGTCTGTTTCCAAAGGTTTTGCATCCTTAAGACTCAACTTGTCTTTATTGCACGAAGCGATTGTACACCCAACGCCATGAAGAAGATGGAGAGTGGGCTGCCCCGCGCCTTCTCCCGCACGCGCTGTGGTGTGCGCGGGCGCTGTGGTTCACGCAGGCATCGTGGTGCACACTGGCGCTGTGTTGCACACGGCTGTTGCGGTGTACATAGGCGTTGTAGTGTACGCAAGCGCTGTGGTGCACGCGGGCATTGTGGTGTACACTATCGTTGTGTTGCGCGCGGTTTCTGTGTTGTACACGGGCGTTGTGGTGTACGCACGCGTTGTTGTGCACGCGTGTAAAATCATCCAGCGCTCCACTTTCCATAGAGGCTTTTGTTATTTGAAACGTGTGTTGTTTGATGGAATTCTGTGGCGCCACACTTTCCTTCGGGATTCTTTTATCAAACAAGCGTTTTCAGTGGAATCCAGAGGCGTTCAGCTGTTCATAGCGATTCCAATAATTCAATATACAAAATTGGTGTTCTGTGGAATCTAGAGGCGCTCCATTTTCCACTGGGGTTCCTTTTTGTAGACAACGGTTGTCTGTAGAATCCAGGGGCGAAATCTTATATTAAAGATCTGTTGTACGTGGAATCCTGAAGTGATCTAGTTTCACGTTGCGGGCGTTCTGGCGCACGCAGGCAATTCGGTGTACACGGGCGCTGTTGCGCACACAGCTGCTGCAGTATGCACAGGCACTGCGGTGTGCAAAGGCGACGTGGTGCTGCAGTGCACGCGGCTGTTGTGGTGTACGGAGGCACAGTGGTGCGTACACAGGTGGCGCTGTGTTGCACGCAGGCATTGGGCACTGTTGTGTACACAGGGAGCGCGGTGCATACAGTCGATTGATGCGCCGGTGGCGCGGATGCACCCTGGCGGGCGCACGCCGCGGCCACCGTTACAGTTACCCTCTCGCCCGACCCGCCCCCTGGGTAACAGCCCGGTAACGGCCGTTACCGGGGAAAATAAACAAAGTGTTAACGCTTCGGGTATCTCCAGCAGCCCATCCCAAAACAACACGTCCCCTCCCTTTCGGATCCCAAGCAGTCGCTTCTTGTGGCCCTCTTGGGCCGCTCTTGGGGCGCTCTTGGGCACTCTTGGGCCCGTATTGGGCTTCTCTGGGGCCTGTCGTGGGGCTCTCTCGGGCCAACTTGGGGCCATCTTGAAGCCTTAAGAGCGCCTTGAAAGCGAAAAGGTGAGAAGTCAAAACACATTGATTGTCCTTAGGTTTTGAAGGATTTGGGCCTCTCGGGGGCGTCCTTGGGAGGCTCCGTAGCCACTTGGGGCCGTCTTGGGGCGGTCTTGGAGCCTCGTGCAGGCTTGTCAGGAGCTATCTTGAGTCATCGAGGGCTATCGTGAGTGATCTTGGAGGTCATCTTGAGCTCTCGTGGGCTGTCTTGGCGACATCTTAGGCCAAAACAGACGCTCCAACCACCCGCGACCCACCCCCATCCAAGCCCAGGGGGAGGGGGGAGGGGGTGGGGCAAACCCCTCCCCGAAGGGGAAGAAGGGGGTGGAACAGAACAGGCTCTCTAAGCCACCTCCGCCCAGAGTGCCGGTGGGATTGTCGCCTTGCTCGTAGACCCCACTTGCGTCTGTCCGCAGCTGCGTAGTACAGGCCTTTCAGGAAGAATGCGCATCGTCGCGAATAGCGATTGCAGCTGGTCTTGAAAGAAGCCTGTAGCTGGCATATGTGATGGGCGGTGTACAGCCT